GTTTCGACATGGGGACCGATCACCGGTGAAGGCCTTTCCTACCGACCCCCACCAAGAAAATGCCTGGCCTCAGGGCTTTGGGCAGCTGTCACAGGTAAACTGATTATTCCGTAGTTCTAATTTCGCTCTCTAGGCTCCCGTCTCCAGGTTACACTGGTAGATGTGGAGTTTTAATTAGGCTAAAGGTCAGCAGGTTGTTTGCTGGCTGGTGCCAGCCTTTTTTTATCAGCCCATTACAATGTTCAGAGTACAACCATGACTGTTTTTTTTCTTCTTTCTATTGGTCGATATGACTAGCAGAGTTCCTTTTTCAATGTTATTTCAAATAACATTTAGAGGCTTAAAAAAAAGGTTCAAATTGCTCAGTAAAAACATTCATTGTCATTTTTATTCTTAAACATTTCTCTGCAAAAACTGAAATAGAAGTAAATCACCTCTTAAAAATAAGATTAAAAAAATAAGAGACAGTTTGCTAATGGAATAAAATTATTTATTATGAAAAAAAAAACAAAAAAACTGTTGTCGTTATCTTAATTCAAGTGCATAATATTTGATTATCCTATTTTAAGGTGCAAAATACTAATTCCATCAGGATATCATCATTTTATAATTTCTTTTTTATCTGATTAACCATTACCTTAAAAATGACCGTGTCCCGCAGCATCACACCTCATCCTTCATGCTTAGTTGAAATATTATTACAACTATGATATTTTTAAATGCTCTCTTGTACAATCCAAATGTCTTCCGCTCCAGATCTTTTAAATTTATTCTCATATAGAATAAGCTGTCTTCCTCTTTTTGCTTTATGTACTTTGTTTAAATGCAATACCGGGGTTTCAATTTTTATTATTGCACCTTAAGCAGCTGTTTTGATTAGCTTTCCGACGTTTGTAGAAGCCTCAACAAACAAGCTGGAGCCTCATTTTTTCCTCTTTGCTTTGTGTTTCAAGGACGGGATGAGGCAGCATTATGAGCTGGGTCAGTTTCTGAGGACGCGGTACCAGAACTTCCTCAATGAATCCTACAACCGTCAGGAGGTGAGAAATAGAAGCGCCTCTTCCTTTTTAGATCCCTTAAGAATTAACCAATGTCTAAACACATCTTTCCTCCTCTCCCCCAGGTTTTGGTCCGTAGTACAGATTATGATCGCACCCTGATGAGTGCTGAGGCTAACCTTGCAGGTATGCTTTATTATTTATTTCTTATAATCATCTCATATGCTCAAAGGAATCCCCTACCTCAACCTTTACTGTCTCTCCCCTTTATGTAGGCCTCTATCCTCCTAAAGGTCAGCAGATATTTAGACCCAGCTTACAGTGGCAGCCCATTCCTGTGCACACTGTACCGCAGAGCGAAGAAAGGGTTGGTAGAGGAGAAGCGTTTTTGTTTTTAACCAGCTAAAGTTGAAGAGTTCTAATTCAGTGTCCTTACTGATTTTTTTTTTTTTTAAAAGCTCCTCTCATTTCCGTTGAGGGACTGTCCTCGCTACGAACAGCTGATGAATGAAACTGAACACACAGCAGAGTTTCTCAACATTACAACAGAATACAGGGTAAATCTTTGCTGCTTTTCCTTTATTTCTGTTTAGCAACATCACCTGTATAAAATAAGGCGGAAAAAAACTGTTTAAATAGTCTTTTATTTTGATGTCTTCTTATCCTTTTGTTTATTCTTTAGGACTTGATCGAGCTCGTTAAAAATAAAACGGGGGTAAAGAACACCAATGTGGAAACAGTGTGGAGTGTGTACGACACACTCTTCTGCGAGGTAACAAAATAAACCCCAAATATAAGCGACATTCAAACCAAGCTTAACTTGTGACCGCTTTTATTTTGAAATATAAGATGCTGTTATTTACGGAGGCGACACTGAAGCAAAGGTTTTTTTTTTTTTTTTTTTTTATTTATAATGCACTGTTTGCTGCGTTACCTCAGTCCCGTCACAACTTGTCAGCTCCGGACTGGGTCACCCCCGACGTCATGGAGAAGCTGAGGTTTCTGAAGGACTTTGGCTTTCAGGTAAAAGACACCGCCGCATCTCAGCTGTCTGTCACAGTTTCTGATAAAGTAGACGAAAGGTTTGACATGGCTTGTTTTTAAATGCTGAATGTTTGCAGGTCATATTTGGGGTCCATAAACAGCAAGAGAAGAGTCGTCTGCAGGGAGGTATGTGCGTACATTGGAGTCAGTCTATACCTGCCAACTTGGTTGTGGAATATGATTCAATACTCATCCCTGATATGCTGTATCTCATCAGGTCTCCTGCTTGGTGAAATAGTTAAGAATCTCACCGATATGGCCGCCCCAGACCCACATCGACAACTCAAACTGATGATGCTCTCAGCGGTGCGCCTGTTCTTATCCACGCTGCTTCAAAATTATGGTGTTTTTTTTGTGATCTCTCAGGAACAACTTGTTTTTGGTGATCTCTTAACAGCATGACACAACACTAGCAGCGCTTCAGGCCAGTTTGAGTGTGTTCAATGGAAAGCAGCCACCCTATGCCTCCTGTCACATAATTGAATTGTACAGAGATGAAAATGGGTTTGTATTTTTAGCTAAAATAATGCATCCAAAATGCAGAGAAATATAGATAAAATACGGCGTTGACTCCATCATTCTTGGTTTCTCTTAAGGTCTTCGTCGGTGTCCATGTTTTACCGCAACGACACCAGCATGAAGCCGTACCCGGTCCAATTGCCAGGGTGCACTCTGGACTGCCCCCTGCAGGACTTTATCAAGATCACAAAACCGTTCATCTCCGACGACAGGGACAAGGAGTGCCAGCTGCCGTCGCAGTGGAGAGACAGAAGTGAGATTCCTCCTACTGCTTCTGTCGGCACCAGTGATCAGTTTGATTGGATCCTCACTGTGTTTGTTTTTTCCTCTTTTCCAGAAGTCATCATCACCTTAGCCTTGTCAGTTTGCGTGCTCGTTATCCTCATCGCCATCATCCTCTACGTCATTTGCCGGTACAAGAAGTCCAGCAGCAACAGGGGATACCATCATGTGATCACCCAGGACATCGGAGATGAATCCTGACAGAGGCACAAGCTACTGCTTCGGAGATCAACGAGCCTTGCCTCCTGGGACAGCAGCAACAGCGACAATGACGATGATGAACTTTGAAAGCAGAGAGTTCAGGAACTGTCTTTGCAGATTCCTTTACCTCCTATTGGAATAACATCCGAACGTTTTATTCATGCGGGTCGTGGTTTGGGCACAATATGACTGGTGTTGGTACACTTTGTGTGTGAGGTTTGATGACCAAGATGCCTTATTTTCTAGTCTTAGCTTTCAACTCTGAATATTTCAGCTATGTCTTTGTTGAGGGAAAATTTATCTTTTTAAATAAAACTTCTTAAAACACTGGAGAAAAATGTTTTTTGACCTTAAAGACAGGAATGAAATGTGTCAAAAATAAACTGGCAGTTTTAAACCTCAGTCTAAAATGGTATTTTTTATTTTTTTATTGCTACGAGTTTTAACTCCTCCCAGCCAGCAATTACCGGTATGCATTTTCCTCATGCTGACTCAATCCCTATACCTAAAATTGGTAAGGACACCTAACTCATGACAGAAGTGCGTCAGTGGTCGGCATAAAAGGTGTTATCTGACCAAGATTGCTGGTAAGGAACTAGAAAGAGGAAACTGTATGCTTCCTATCACCAGTTCAGTTAGCATAGGGACCTCCTGACCTTCCTAGCCATCACTATTAGCTTTATAGTTAACAATCCTTTGTGTGACAAAAATAAATTTTTTCTTAATGTTCTCTGTGATGCATGCAAATCTAAGGTGTTTTATAATGTAGAGATTCAGCTGTGTATTTTTTTGTAGTTCTTTTATCCATAAGTCTGTAGTCCTAATTAGACAAGCATCATTAATATGGGCATTGGTGTAATGATGGCTAAAGGCTATCTGAATTCAGCATAGCAGTCTAGAGCTCCTTTCCTGCCCTGGATAGTGTTTTTACTGTTCACCCCGCGAAAGGTGAAGGAACAGAAGGTAGCAGCTAGGGCTGCAACTAACGATTATTTTGCAAATTGATTCATCTGTCAATAATTTTTATGATTAACTGATCAATAAGCGAATAGCCAAAAGTTCCTTAAAGAAGATTTTTCACAAAATGAAACTAGAACGATTCCACTTGAGGAGTTCTGGGTAGAGCATATTGACAGATGAAAACGTTTTTATTTTATTTTAATATAATATAATCTTAATATACATTTTTTTTTTATATTTTAAGATAATTACTGCTCTAAGTGGGTTGCTGTCAGTGAAGGCATATTTTACAGTCTCTATACTCATTTACTCTATATTGAAAGATTAATCAATTACTAAATGAGTTGACAATTTCTATAATCGATTGATTACAATTAATCTGATTAATAGTATCAGCCATAGTAGGAGCCACTGTTTGCATATAATTACCAGGTCTGCTAATGGTAATTTCTCTGCTTTCCTCACTATGAGGATCTGGCAACACCGGAGCTCAAATTCAAATTATTTCAACCTACTATTCCTATTAGTGAAGAATCCTTTCCTGCTAATGTTAGCATCCTAGCCAACTAATAAAAATATTTTAGACTCAAGTTTTCTAAAAAAATATTGAATTGAAACACTATATTGAATTAAATTAAAACTTATTCTGAACAACTGTTTCGGGCGGGTGTTTTTTTTATAAATTTTTTTGATTAAAAAAAAAAAGTAGGTATGACCATTGATAATAGAACGACTCATGTCAGGATGCAGATTGTCATCAGTTTTTAATTATGCTAAACTTCCATTTTTATTTTTATGATTCAAAATTGAAACAAATATTCATTCTAAATTGTCTTCCTGCCTATTGTCTTTTTCTAACCAGAATAAATCGAGTCTTAGTGCATATAAGCAGTAACGATTTTTTTGTATTTCATAAAACTAGAAACCTTTTCCTAGTTTCTCACCTTACAACCACACACTTTTATGTGTTTAATTGAACTTTTTTTAATGACAGACCAATACTAAGTTTTAAGATGTATATTTTGCCCATTTTATTTTGACTGGTCCAGTCTAACACACAAACATGCCTTGCCGTTTCCTAAAATTTTTTATCTCTGGCTGCTTGATTAAGGTTATCTTCCTACTACCAATCTGCAAATATTCATTATAAACTGAAATCTTTCTGTTTACCAACATTTTTACTCTCAATCATGTTGTCCTTAACCCTAAACGTCTCCTTTTAGCTGTTGTTTATCAGGTTTTACGAACCAGAATCAATTTAATGTGAAGTCAGGAATGAGAAACTGCCTTTTTAGTAACTCAAGCTCAAGAAAGGCTCCATGTGGAACAGGTAGGACAGCAAAACATACATAATTATGCTTTTACGGACCAGTTTCTGCAATTACCCTCTTGAAATTGTTAGCAAAGGCTGCCGCACGACAGACTGGATAGAGGTGGGAGAGGTCAAAACTGGTCCAACTCTTAGCAGCAGAAACAAAAAGGACATTGTGCAACGTTTTTTTTGCAATATGTTATGTTTGACTTTTCATATTTCCTACTATTGTCTAAACAGTGCAGTAGGCCTTTATTAAAACATGGTTTAGAACACGGTAGTGCTTTTCTTGCATACATCATTAGTCATCGGTAGCACAGGTTACATTCAGATTGGCCATGGATATAACCATCAACACCTTAAAACAATCAACAGGGAAATTATCACTGCATTTTCTGTGTAGCAGACCGCTTGAAAAAATCTTTCACACAAATAATACCAGATTGGACAGAGAAACGGTGACAGATTTTGCGCACAGATGCAGAAACATGCATTTCGCAACGCTGTTAAAAAGCTGGACCCAAACTGAGAATTTCAGCTCCTTCATTTGATTTTTAAAGAGTCCTGATATAACTCGCCGACACAAGCGATGGAATCTCAAAGTACAAACAGCAGCATGAGGAATGGACACCTTCTCGATCCCGGGTTTAAGGTTGCGTGACATCGGAGAGCCTTTCTTAGTAATTCACCACAGATGTAGTGATTTTGGTTCAACAGGTGGGTCGTAAACAACACCACAAATAATAATAATGATGATACAGGCTGTCATAAGAATCTGCAAACTTGTGATGTGGAAATAAAAAGAGGAAGCATGGGGGAAACCAGGGAAATACACAACCTGTTAGAATGAAAAAAAAAATGTATAAAAGCTGACTAAACCTTAAAGACAAATATTAAAAACACACACACCACCTACTATAAAATATATCACAACACGCATATAAAACAGATTGGCGAGGAAACAGACAATTAAAAGCACACATCCTTTGACTAATTCTTGTGCAAAAATATTTTCTTTAAGGAATGCAACTGTTCAGTATGATAAAATGTGATGGCACGTTGACATTTCCTTTCTAGGATAAATACAACAGAGTACATAAAGAAAATATAAAGATATGAGAAGAAAAACCTACATTCCAGGCTTAAAAGCCTTTTTCTCTGAAGGTGATCTTCCACTAAGTGCAAATTTCTGCCTCACAGCTCACAAAACATCTGATCATATTAAAGGTTCATTTGGTCACAAATAAGTTTTAAAGATCCCTCTAATTTTATACCACAAAGCTAAATGCAGGTATTTTTCTGAAAACAGGCAAAACTGTATGTTTAAACCAAAACATTCACCTATTTAAAATGATTGGTTAGCTCCATTCTCATGATTTTAGGCGTATTTCATTAAGGAACCTTACTTTTAATCCATAAAGAAAACTGAAAATTAGTTTTAGTCAGTCAACAGGGAAAAAACAGGCAATGAGAGCAAACACAATTCAAATTTATGGGCTCTAAGAAGTACACACTGAAACAGCTATAAGAGCTATAAAGGAAGAGTTAGCCATGTAGCTCAATGAAGCTTCTGTAATGCGCTTGCTGATATATTTCATTTTACACTTTTATTTTGTGTTCAAATAAAATTCAGTTCCAGTTTGATAACTGAGATAAACTGGATTTAACAACAGTATCATCATTTGTTCTCATTTTAAATTGAGCTCTGTATTCTTTTTGCTAACTGCTAGCATCATTAAGCTAGCTCTAATTCCTTATGCCATTTTTTTTTACTATTTTCATTTTGTTTTGCAAAATAAGAGTGATAAAGTGAAATCGACAACACAATTGAACATTATTTATTTCTTTTTTCATATTTTACTATATTTTCAATTATTTTTCTCCTTTTATATTTGGGAAGTTAGTACGACAAAGCAGGTCAGACAATTTTTTTCTTTTTTTTTTTTGGTAATTACAAGAAGATATTATTGAGAGAATTCAGAAAATGATCATAAATATTATACCCGAATAAAGTAATAATATTCGATTAATGAGAATACAGTTGTAATATCACAGTAATGAAGTGGTAATATTATGTTACCAAAGAATTATATTATAAATACAGTAATAATACCACACAAATATTACAGAAAAACTTATATTGAGACAACAATAAAGTGTTCTTGTGTGACTTTATACATAGGTTTTTTTTTTTACAAATATGAAAATACTTAATTTTTTACCCCATTAAATTCGTATCAGAACTAATTCACCAGCAGGCAACTGTATGACTTTATTTATGTGATATTACAACTGTAAACTCATATTTTGGATATTTATTAAATAAGAATATTGCCTGTAGCATGATCCTAATAGTCTGGTGTAAATTATCCCATGTTGTTCCACTAAAACTTGATATTAGTGTGATAAAAATGTATTTTTTTTTTTGTTTTTTTTTTGTCCAGTGACACAATAATAACTTTTTTTAATCCATTTTAAATGTTTGCAATATTTCCCCTATTCTGGCTTATTATTAGCTGTGCTAACACTCATTATGTCAGCAGTTATCGGCAAACTAGCACTAGCTAATTACTTATGACACGTTCTGCTAGTTTTCTCTTTGTGACCTTGCCTCTCTCCTAAAATAAGGTTTTGTATTTTCATTCTCATTACATTGCACCAGAATTCAGTCCACATATTGATCTAAGTAATAAACCGAATTCTTTATTTCAAAGTGTCCAATTTTCTTTGTTTTATCACTACTTTTCTATTTTTCCTTTTGGCTAATGCTAGCAATGCTATGCTAGCTCTCCCTGCATAAGCAGCTATCAGTAAATTAGCATTAGCCAATTCCTAACAGCAGCTTTTTCCACGTTCTTTTGTGTAACAATAGAACCCTGTCCCAGCTTAATAAAGTAATTAACATTTTATTAAAAAATAAAATGTTATAATTTGCTGTATTTGCTTTTAGGACTGATTTTTCATACGCAAGAAGGTCATTGTGTTTGAGAACCATGTTGCTCTGGCCTGAACTGTTGACTGACAGCTTTAGGATTAGCAAATTAGCCTCATAAATAAGCACCTGCTACGCAGCTGCCATGTTTTCAGACCATTAAAATGTACAATTGAAAGGATTTTTCTGGTCAATAATTCTCTATATTGCCAAAGTATTTAAAGGAAATGTTTTCAGTTCAATGCTACCCATCTGTGCTGATGTTCTCAAAAAAGCTGGTCGTCTTGTTGATCCGACTTTCTTGCTTATTTTATCTCCACGATTTCACACAATTTGTTGAAGCAGTTGTGTGGGCAGTACTTTTAATCAAAAGGTTTGATGGAGCTGAATAAGCAAAATGGGACAAAAAGATGTAATAATTTGTTATCTATATTGTCCAAAGTCTACAATAGATCCCATTTAATTCTGCGGGGTGCAGAAATACGTCTGCGATCCGCAGTAATAATTTTGCGGCGTGGAATAGTAATTACTGTGTTGATGATGCTGGTAGTTGTTGTTCTGTGGGGTAGAGTAGTAGTTGTGATGGTGATGATGATGACTCTGAACGTTTCCTTGGGAAAATAAGAGCGGGGCCGTGGAAGGTGGAGGCTGCGGGCCAGGGGCCGCCCCCGGGGCCAAACTCCCATTTCGTTGGATTGAGCCGTACCAGCTGGACGTCGCCATCTGAGGCGTAGTGGATAGGAGGCTGAGAATGACAGGAAGTTTTAATAAAAGATAAGGATAAACATATTCATCTTACGGAAGAGAATTAGGGCCAGTGGAAGAAAAAGTTAACTGATTTTTAAATTTTATTTCTTATTTTCCTCAGAATTCTGACTGAATTCTGACAATAAAAAAGTCAGAATTCTGAGAAAAAAGTCTGAATTGTGAGAAAAAAGTCCGAATTCTGAGATTAAAGTCGGAATTCTGAGATTAAAGTCAGAATTCAGAGAATAAAGTCAGAATTCTGACTTTAATCTCAAAATTCTGACTTTCTTTCTGAGAATTCTGACTGAATTCTGAGAATAAAAAAGTCAGAATTCTGAGAAAAAAGTCAGAAAAACAAAAATGTTTCAAAGAAAAAAAAGTTAAATAGCACATTAATAGGATGGAGTTAAAGTGCATGCTAAAAATGTATCTTTAAATCGGTTTTCCAGGTCAAGGACCCCCAAACTGATGGCGAGATGGAGCCCTCTAATTATATGTAGTATGAAATTATGTTATATCAATCTGGTCCTATATTCACTCTATTACATATGGAGTAATGTAACAAAAGTAATTTCTAATTTATTAAAGTATTTCTGATTCTGATTCCAGGTTGAGGGACAGGTGTTGTGAATGAAATGGTGCCCAGCTTGAAAGAGCTCCTGTGTGTCGCTGACATGTGTGCATTAATGACTGAAAGACATCTTCTGCCTCCATGTATCTGTTTACTTCAGTGTGTTGAATTCGTGTTATTGTGTATTTAAAGATATTTCAATTAGTGGTAAAATTTGCAGGGGAGAATATAAAAAAAAAAAAGTGTAATCAACCAAAACTTTCGTGCAGTGCGGGGTCTTGCTCAAGGACCCAGAGTGCAGGCTGTGGTTCAGCCTTATAAATAACCATAAAATATCCTCCCGCAAGATGCAGAAAAGGGATTAAAGAAGCTGAACTGGAAATTTCCACACAAAAAAAGATTGGTTCTGATTAAAACATTTCACAATAAACCCAAAACTAATTCCATCACATCTGATTCAGTGCTCACCTGGCCCGATCAGTTCTACTGTTGACGCTCCTGGACAGGTCATCGTCACTATCGTACCGTCTGGGGTTGTCAAAGAAATAAGCTCTGGAGCTGAAGCTGTGGCTGTTGATCATGCCGCCTGGGGCCTGAAAGACACACAGCCGAGGAATTCATACATAACTGTGACTACGGCTCAATCTTTGAGAGGACGGACTAAGCCTACGGCCTGACTTCTAGTTGATCGGTTTACCAGGTTTTGGTGGGGTTTTTGGACTCTGAAGAAAACCACAACCAAGCTGGTGGGCAGCAGCTCCCAGAAAAACAAAATGATCCCAAAAACGATGTAGGCTTCTCCGCTGATCTTATGTATGTCGGCCTTTAAAAAGGATAAACAAACACAATTTACACACATGAATCCTGATGGCACCTAGCAAACCGAGAAAAAAATGTATTTAACCCAGATCCAACAAATATTAATCTGAAAAGTGTGGCATGCATTTTTACACAGTTCTCCCTTTTCTTGTTCCCTAAATGAAGTCCAGTCTTTGTGTTTGTGTACGGATCAGAAGAGAAGCTTATGACCTTAACGCAATGTGCTACTCACTACACACCAAGCTGAACACAGAAACTACATGGTGATACAGGGATTTTTTTTTCTACAGATGGACCATAACAGCTAGCCAGCTAGTTAATAGGAAGATGGAGCTGCTATACCCGGCAATCCAAAAAGAAAACCTGAGACTTGAGGCAGTGCACTACAAAAAATTGAAATCTAAGGCCCCGTCCACACGAAGACGAACCCTGGCCTAAACGCACAAATTTTTCACCAAACCAGCCTCTCATCCATACGAAGCCGGCTTTTCGGGGGTCTGTAAACTATCTTTTTTTTATCAGGCCTTTAGAGTGGGAAGATTTTGAAACGCCGTTTTCGCGTTTCCATCTTTAAGCTCTAACCGCATTTTTTTTTTTCACGCATGCGTCATAGCGTCGCCTTTAAACACGCATGCGCGACACAGTATCACAACAACAATGGCACCGTACTGTGTGCTGCTCATGCTACTCACCCTGCTGTCGGGCTTACAACAGAATCTTCTTCTTCTGGAATATCTCCAGGAAGAACAGAGCAATATCGACGACATAGTTCAGCACCTGAATTTGACTGAACCACGAAAATGGACCCGCAGGGCAACCATGTATAAATATTAGTGCGCATGCCCAACATTTCGTCGCCTATTTTTGCTTTGGCACCACAGCGCCACTTACAGGCCTGGCATACATTTTGCAGCGTTTTCATGCATTTCTTGTGGACGATCACATTTATTTTACGTCTCAGTCTTTACGACAAACGTTCTGGAAAATATTAGCGTTTCGTGTTCGTTTTGACTCCGTGTGGACGGGGCCTAAATAAGTCTTTTTTTTTTTCTGAAAATAAGTGCATTTGTTCTTGAATTGAGGAGGTAAAAGACACATTTCACCAATGGAACAAGACAATTTACAGTTAAAATAATAATAAAAAATTGCATTGTCTTATTTCAAGTGCATAATATTGAATTATCTTATTTTAAGAGTAAAAATACTCACTCCATTGGCAAACTATCTCGTTCACCTATTTAAATTAAGGATAAATACACTTAATTTGAGAAATTTTGACCTATTTCTAGATCGTTTTTCCAGTGTGATGAAGGTTCCTAAAAAGCTACAGCTATAATAGAGTCAGAGATTCTTATGTTAAAACGGCTCATTTAAAGTCCAGATCTATATTCAATGAAGAATCTGAGGGAGATTTGGGAAAAATGTTAACAGAAGGTCCTAGAAGGATCTAATTCAAACTGTTAATGCAAGTTAAATAACACTAGTGAACCTCTATAAGCATACATGAGATACCAGATGCACATCAGAAGGTATGCAACACTGTATGAAAATGTTGTTTTGGAAAGAGGTAAAGGATGAAATTGAGGAAATCTTTTCCAAGCGAATAATTAGACCAAAGGCAGTTTATGTTTGGGCTGTATTTGCAAAAACATAACTACACTAAAAATGAACAAATACTTAAAACGTAGGTCTACTCAATGCAAAAAGATGTATATTGTTGTTCTGAACGACGACTCAGGGAGTGATTATACTGTCGATAGATCTGACAGATGTCATTTATGCTCCATTTGGAAAAAATACATGTTTTTAAATGGCAAACAGGATTTGTTTGAGTACATCTGGAATACCCTTTATTGTATGTATTAAAGATCTGAACATGACAGAGGAAAGTCGTTTTTAATGAGGTTCATGAGCAGCTGAGTTTGATTTATATATATGTAGATGATGTATGGGTTTAGTAAGGGGTTGTATTATGATTGAGAAAGGCATATAGTTGTGTTTTGTTTCAGGCTTGAACACAATGTCTAATATTCCCATTGTTGATACGTTTTACACAATGTTTCAGCTGTCTGTATAAACTTAAAAAGTCTCAATAAAGACATTTAGCAAAAAAAAAAATAATTGTCTTTTGCAATGTCTCCCCCTGCTGGCCATGAAAAAAAGTCCCATTGGCTGCTTTTTGTGGATTGAGATCCAGATCCTTTTAAATACATAGTTTGATATTCATACACTGACTGCAAATCTATAACACAGATATGGGTAAACATTTTTTAAACATCCTGTATAAATAAATACTTTCAATAAATATAATTAAAAAGGACTCAAATAAATCGTAACATATTCGGATAACTGTTGATTTCCAGAAACAGATTAAATTCTGATTAATTAATTATTATTTGTGTTTTTTTTGTAAAAAGAAATAACCACAAACATATAAAAGTAAATCCTTTAAATTGTGTTGTCTGTCCCAAGGCTTGCACCCTCTCTGATGTAGGTCAGGATCCACAGAAAAGGTTTTTTATAGCCAGACAAAGTCTTAAACCCTGATGAACCCTACTTCATGATTCTCCAAAGATCAAATGCCCCGACTTAAAAAAATATTCACTCTATCTTATTTCGATCTAATATTAAAGATCAACAAAAGGTTGAGCATTGTGAGGTGGAAAGTTAACAAAACATAAGAACCTGTGCGTTATGCATGCATGCATGTGCAGATATCCATCACCGTACTAAACTATGCTATTTTGCTGTCATTTGACCCACTGTGGAAAAGTTTAAGAAGTAGGAACAGTTTTGCATGGCGCTGTTTACAACTAAACACAAATGGAGCAGCACCTGGTCAGAGACGCTGTACCAGCCATAACTAAAGGGGCTGGGTCTGTCCTGCGGCGACAGGGCCACCACCACTAGGTTGTAACAGGCTCTAGACGTGTAGAGCAGGATCACCACGGCTCCTACGGCGGTCGCTTGGCACACTGATGTCCCCTGGAGGGAAGATTCATCTCGTCACAACAAGCTCAGCACTTAAACACTAAAAACAAGTCAACTAGCATTACAAAAATGACCATTTCAGACCAGAAACAAGAAATTAACAATATTAATGTTGTTTAATGACTTCTTAAACAAATGACTTGTTTGTAAAAATCGTGTGAAATGTTTTTTTAATGATACAATCCTCTTTCTGGGTACGTTTATAAAGCAAAAGGCAAGATGCTGCAGCTTAGGGAAATAATAAGCTTTGAATTAGCTTGAATTAGCATCATTATTCTATCTTCTCTTAGAAATTGCTTCCTGTAAATCTCAATCAAGTTAATCAACTGGAAGAATGAATTTGAACAATCAACTGTACTATTGAGGAAGACATTTTAGATTTTGATATTGAATCTCTGTAGCTTTAATGTCTAGAGAAGCAGCTCTACAAGATGTATCCTAAAAAAAACAGGTAAATCATTTCCTTTCTACCTTAGACTCGAGGTAAACATTGGCAGAAGACATCTTGGCGGTTTTGAAGATGCACACAGCCAGAGATATGGCACAGAGGACAAACAGGCTGTCGTTGATCAGGACCCGAGCCAAGACTGCATGTCGGACCCCCCCACCACTGCAGGGCCAAAGGATAGAGTTTGTAACGACATATTCAAGTATAAAGAAAAGAGAACTGATTACAGAGAAAGAGAAAAGACAGAAATCGAGGTCTGTGTTAGCTACGTATAAAAGGAATGAACCTCTGCTCACCTCGGTGGTTCAGAGTGCATCAGAGCTCCTTGGACTAACAAAGCGCAAGTCAAATTCACCACCAGGAAAAATATACTGAGCGAAAGAAAGAACAAGCGCAGAGGAACCCTACAAAGAAAAAAGATTGGTGAAAGTGACTTAATTCACAAGCAATTAACACGGTTTTAAAGGGGATAAATCTATAATGCTGGTGACGATTCCCAGACAACCAGGTCATAGTAATTCCAAAAAAATTAAAAAATAATCCACTGGACTTTGTTTTCCAAGTTTCAAGACGTTTCGCTTCCCATCCAGAAAGCTTTTTTAATTCAAAGTCCCAGAAATAGAGTTGAGTTCCAATTTTTATAGGGTAGCCCAACAACACTGCAAAAAAGGAAAATCTATACAAGTGTAATAAACTTCAATTAAGCATTTTGGTCTTATTACACTTGTTTTTCAACGTATTTTCTTAGTAAGACTGAATATTGTTAAGATTATTTGACTTGTTTTAAGAAAATTCATTTTTTTTCATCCTAACTAGATAATACAACTAATTCTGAGCAGCTTTTTTCTTAAAATAGCAAACATTGCGGACTGAGTCGCGCTAACATTTAGACTGTGAGTACATTTTTACTTGTTTCAAGACAATAGGACAATCCATATTAACCTGGTTTAAGAACTGACCCCATCTCATTAAGATATTCCAGCCAGGGGCGGAGCTAGATGGGGGGCCAGGGGTGGCCATGGACACCCTTAGCCAATCATTGGCCACCTCTGTGGACACCTCTACCATTTCCCCCCCCCTCCAATACAGATGATGGCAGCAGTAATACTCTCAAATTGAATAGTCAAATATTAAAAGCAATTACTTGACAACAAAAACAGTGTGGTTATTGTGGTTTTGCACATCAATATACTAACATTAAAGATGATAAATACAAAATTCATGCTCTTTTCGGAACTAGATTTTGTCTTATGGGGTAAAGAAAAAATATGTGTTTCTTCAAGTCATTTAGGAGACTTCAGTGAAATCCTTGATAACTTTTTTAATAAAAGCTTAATAAATAATCAATTTATCTATAAATCAGTACTTGTAGATATCAATTTTATGCAGAATGATTATTTATAAAAGTAGGTAAGTAATGACGATGGAAAATATGTTCGCCCCATAACTCAAACATTCTAATTGATAGGGTTATTGAGATTGTCATTCATGATTTAGCTTTGAGATTCTGAACCTTAGCAGTGGACCATTCACTGTTTACAATACATCATAACAACTGTACATCATCAGAGATGGGAAGTAACGAAGTACAAATACTTTGTTACTGTACTCAAGTAGATTTTT